GGGATCACCTATGTTAAGTCATTCAATGTCAAGTAGAGGATGCTACTCTCGGAGATAGTCTCGAGTTACGTACAAGATAAGGAATCTTTGTTTCTTGTGTGTCGTTTTGCATTTTTTTTTTTGTTGTTTTTTGTTTCGTTTTCTTGCGTGTCGTTTCCTTTTCCAGCTGTTGTCGTTTCGTGCGCGCGGTCGTCTCAGTCACGAAAAAGAAAAAGAAAAGCGTTGTCAGACCCACACACACACACACGCACGCATGCAGCCACGCTAGCCCAGATTCTGAGGCCCAGGGCACTTACAGTTCATCCCCAGTCACATTTTCTGGAAGGGCCCTGGGCATGGCTTCCGGGACAGAGACCGCGCCTTGGAAAATAGACGAGGCCTTTCTGAGGCCGACATAAGCAGAAACAGGCCTCGTGGGTTGGTTGCTGCATGCAGCATCTTGAGCCAACCGGTAGGCCCGATCGGTTGAAGATGCTGGGCCCAGCAAAGATGCTGAGGCCCAGGGCACTTGCAGTTGAGCCCCAGTTGCATTCTGGAAGGGCCCTGGGCACGGCTTCCGGGGCAGAGGCCGAGCACCCAGGGCCTGTCTTCGCGGAGCCAGATGCAGAGGCCGAGCACCCAGGCCCTGTCCTCGCGGAGCCAGACGCTACAAAAGCGTGCGAGGCTCACTCACACCCAAGCATTCTGCTGGCTGGACGGTGGAGCGCACACTGGCCGGAAGAACGTCGGGCAGAGTGGGGAGGGCACTGGCGAGTCGCTGGGTTGAAGCTGCCTGGGCACATCTCGAGGGCACTGCAGCCATCGCCGAGCTGCAGGCCTCCATAGCCGGTGGAGGTGTGGTGTTGGTCCTTGGGCGAGAGACTTGAGTGTGGGTTGAGAAGGGGGTGAACAGTGTATCGGAGAGGGCGTACCTGGTGGTGATGAGCGGGCCGCATCAGTTGGAGTCTCCATTCGCCAGCAGGCCGATCCACGCCATTCAGACCTGTTGTCGTCATTAGGAGTCTAGGTGGATAGGTGCCGTCCGATTGTCGTCTGGGCGCCGAGCGCCATATAGGAGAGCGACATTGTTGGCATGGACGATGCAGGCGAGAAGTGGGCTTTCAATGTCAGAATTGACGTCAGTGCTTCGCTCTTATTTGGCTTATATCTCGTGTTGCCATCTGCTTTCGGCTCGAGCCTCGAGCACATGTCCATCTGGTTTTCTACGGAATGATGCACTTCGGTTTCTCCCACTCACATTGCTCATTTAAATCATTTAAATCATTTTCATTGCCAAAGCTTCTAACCTTAACCCAAAAAAAAAAAAAAA